CCTCACTGAAACCTTCGTTCAGTCTGGTACTGAATCGAATATACACTTAAAAAATTATAACACTGCTTCTTTCTTCTCAAGAGAAAAAGTAAAACGTGGTGGAGTATGTATATTGCTAAAAAAAAAACATAGACTATAAAGATATACCCTTTTGCAAAGAAATCTCAAGTGAGAAGGTTTTTGAATGTTGTGGTGTTCACATACCATCATCACACTGTAGTATAATTTGTACCTATAGGACACCAGATTCTGACTCAGCAATATTTTTGACAAAGCTTGAAATATTATTACAACAATTATTATTAAAAGACAACAGAAAATTAATTTTGGCTGGTGATTTCAACATAAACATACTTCAAAAGAGCAACAAAACAATGGCATTGAATAACTTATTTCTAAATTATAACCTACAATTGCACATTCGAGAACCAACAAGGCAAAAAACTTGTATTGACCTAATAGTGAGTGTTTAAGCTAATCTAGTTAAGAGCACAATATAATAGTTCCGAAAAGTGAACTAGATGTCGCTGTCTCATTTATGTATAATTTCTACATCGCGGTGGCAAGATATTTTTGTGTTATGTTATAGTTATAACTCGTTTTGTAGTCAGTGAGCGAAATAGAGAGGAATACATTCTTAAAACGCATTATACACATATCCAGTACTATCCTTGGGTTTCATTTACCTATAGGGTCCAAGATCTAGTACAGTTCAGGTCATAAGTACAGCACTAAATATGGTCCTAACTGAGCTGGATTCAGTACATTTTTGAATTGCACGCTTAATGGGCAGTGGTTTACTGTCAAAAAAGCTCAAGTCCTACAGGTCAAGTGTGTCATCAGTGCAACACACTAAAGAACAAGAGCGTCATCTGGTGGCGAGAGACAACTACCATATACTGCGCTCGCGCAGAACAAACGTCAGCGCCATCTGACGTCCAAGAAAAGGAAGTACAGCAGCCCTCTGGTGTTTAGAATTAGCATCATACTACAGCAGCGCCCCCTAGTGCAGATATCAAACAACTGCGACTGCAGCGCCCCCTAGTGCAGACATCAAACAACTGCGACTGCAGCGCCTCTGGTGAAGAGTGCAAGCAACTGCAACTGCAGCGCCCCTAGTGAAAAGTGGAAGCAACTGCGACCCCAGCGCCCCTGGTGTCAAAGGGAAGAAGAGGAGCTGAGACGTCATAGGGGTCAGTTAAAGTGAAGTGTCTGTGAGTACAATTTGAACTTATAATTTGCCAAGCGATTATCAACTTTAAATTCATTAGCCACGGAACTTTAACATTTCATAGATCATAAGAATTTTTACATATAAAATAGTAACTTAGAATAATTTTCAATAGAAGAAAGAAAGAAAGAAAGAAAAACATTTATTGTCAACCATTTTTACATATACATATATACATACATACATACACACTTAGAACAATTACAATAATAATTTATCTTATATTATTTCTAAATATGGTTGGCAACATGGCTGACACTCAGCATATGCCGTGACAGCTAACTGTCACGGCGCTGGTATTCTGTGCCTGCCATTAGTGACAACACGTACAGCTCGATATCAGTTTTTTGACCTTTGACATCTGTCAGATGTCATTATTGTTACTGACAGCAAAATTTTTACACGTGTTCGAGACCTGCCACGTACACAATTACAATTTTAAAATTAATATTAAGGAACAGAAAGATACTACAGTTACTAAAATACTACAAGCACAACAAGAAAAAACACAACACAGAGGGATTATTCTCCGCTACATCAAGCCACCATCCACCGCCGTGCCCATCGTGCAGATCCAAAAGGTAATTTAATTTAGTTAGACAATTTTTGACTATTAATAAGATGTTCTCTAAGACATTTACTAAAACTATATTTTGTGGTTTTAGCACGTAATGGAGGCGGAATATTATTCCAGCAAGACGTAGCGGAGTATCTGAAAGAGCCCCTGAAAGACGCAGTTCTATGTTTTTGAGTAGTAAGCAGATGAGAGGAGGCCCTTGTGCGATAGTTATGACTATCACGAGACCACGACAACTTTTCAGCAAGATATGGAGGTTTATTTGTTTTAATGATTCCAAATAAGAGAGTGGCAAAGTGTAACTGTCTTCTAAAATTCATCTTCAACATATTTCCTTTGTTGAGATAAGGTGTGACATGTGCACGTGGAGGAACATGATAACAAAAACGTGCACAAGCATTCTGTACACGCTGTATTAAGCGCTCTGATCTTGCAAGAAGACAAGGTCCAAATGTTGCATCTGCATAATTCAACTTTGATAATACAAGAGACTCACACAACTTTATCCTCAATTCCACCGAAAGATATTGTCTAATTTGGTACAAAAGCTTAAGTCGATAAAAACTATTCCTGGTGGCCTCAATTATATGTTTCTCAAAATTCATGTTAGAATCAAAGAGAACTCCTAGATTCCTTGCCTCCGTTACTCTTTCAATAGATTTCCCATTTATAGAAACAGGCAATGTCATACGTTCTATAATACCATTCACCTGTTTCTTTGTACCAAGAATTATATATTTTGATTTGGTTGGATTTAGCACCAGGCAGTTCTTATTTGACCACAGACTAACTCTCTCTAGATCTTCATTTAATTTTCTAATACTGTCCAGTGTATTCTTCGGGTGACAATCAATATACAATTGCAGATCATCTGCGTAAAGATGATATTTGCAATGCTGCATGCAATCAATGATATCAGCACTGTACAGAATAAAAAGAATTGGACCAAGAATTGATCCTTGAGGCACTCCTCTGTGTACTGATCTAGGTGCTGAATAATTTCTTGTTCCACAATTTGATTGAATCTCCACTATCTGCATTCGTCCAGTGAGATAACTATGGAACCAGGAGACTGCACAAGAGTCAAATCCATAGTATGACAGTTTTGACAGCAACAATGATGAATTTATTGTTTCGAAAGCGCGAGAAAAATCTAACAATGCCAAGACTGTCCCCCTACCCTGATCCTGCTCATTTATTGTATTGTCAATAACATCAAGTAAAGCGGTAGTGGTGCTGTGTGACTTACGGAAACCTGACTGAAATTTTGGGAGTATATTTTCTTTATCTAAATAAGTAGTAAGTTGTCGGCTTATAGCCCTTTCTAATAACTTGGAAATACATGGGAGAATATTTATTGGACGAAGATCCCTATATTCAGTTGGATTTGAAGATTTCGGTATTGGTTTTATTAGAGAACACTTCCATAAGTCTGGGAAGATGCCTGAGGTAATTGATTTATTTACTATACTAGTTATGACCCTAAGTGTATATGGTAAAGTGAGCTTGATCATGTCAAGTGAAATAAGATCAGTACCCTGAGCATTGGAATTAAGTGTCCTAATAATATTTATGATATCCTGTTCTGAAACCGTGCTAAACTGAAATACAGATTTACTAAATCGGTTGAATTCATAATATGTAAGTTCAGACAATTCAACAGAATCTCTACCCGGTAAATTCAGGAAATGGCTGTTTAAGGCATCTGGGATGTCAAATGACTCAGGAATACAGTCCCCACGCATTTTCTTTGGGAGAACAGATGTTTTAAGGTTGGACCATAACTTTTTAGGATTATGAATGTGATTGTTAATGTATTTGTTATAATAGGCAAATTTCTCTGAAACAATGGCTGCCTTTACTACGGCTTTCATGTCTTTATAAAAAAGTTTATGCATTTCTAATTTTGTTTTTTTATACTTTTTATGGCTGTCGTCTCTGATCTTCATCATTTGTTGCAGTGTGTCTGTCAACCATGGAGGAGAAGGATGCTTAATTGTCAGTGTTTTCACTGGAGCATGGAGATCAAATAATCCAAGCATAAAATTATTGAAGGCTACAACCATTTCATTAACATCAGCTAGTCCCTCTATATATTTCCAATCTATGCTGTTGCAATCTTTATTGAATTTTTCTATTATTATATTCTTTAGAGGTCTGTATGTAGTACAGTATGGTACCGGTTTAACTCTGTTTAAAGATAGCTCCGCTGATATCAATGCATGAGCACCCAATACTGGTATATAATTAACTGTCACGTTTTTAATTGTAGGAGTATCAGAACAAATTACGTCAATCAATGTTTCACTGTGGTCTGTGAAATGTGTTGGTTCATTTACATATTGATTAAGAGATGTGCACTGAAGAAAATTTTGAAAAAGCCTCACTTTGTTGTCATTGTTTAACAAATTTATATTAAAATCTCCCAACAGAAACAAATGGTCAAATCCAGTAAATGCAGTTATGGACTCTGTCAGTGCATCCAGAAAAAGATTGATGTCTTGCCATGGTGGACGGTATGCAGTGCCAATAATGACTGTGGCCGTATTTATTTTAAAACGAATCCACAACTGCTCGACATTCCCATCACCCGGGTGGGGACAAACCCTGGCACCTATGTTATTTCGTATATAAAATCCTACCCCCCCACCACGTCCTCCTCGCACTGCGTCGGGTCGCGGGGCATGGCGCAAGCGATAATCTGGTACCAACGGCGCACGGGCCTCCTCCCCTCCCTAATCCACGTCTCATTTATTGCCACAATGTCTATAGAATATCGGCCCATGGCGGCTACAAATTCGTCCTGTCGAGTACACAAAGAACCTGCATTGAAAAGTCCCAACTTAATATGACGCGATTTGAACTCTATTTTAAGTTTTGTAGCAATCTATATATACATTGTCCGATATCTATATAATATGTTGCACAAATGCTATGACTTGTTATAAAATGCAGGTAAATATATACTAGAACATTAACTTTGTAAAATTAGAGTAGAATTTAGGACTTAGAATAATGTAAGAAAAAACGAGGGAACGGGGAACCTATGCCCGATTTTAAATTTTGTGTCAAACACTTGTAAAATTTTTAAGAATTTTCTTCAACTTGTAAATTTTTTGCGAATTGAAATAGTTCAAATTCGATAAAATACATCTTTGTTTATATTAGTACAGTACATTTAGTTAAGTAAACATGGCAGAAGGTCTTATTAAGATACAAGTTAATTTACAAAAGTCTATTCAAAAAGCATTGGTTAATTTTAATAAGTCACCTAAACAAAGAGTTACTCTAGAGTATGTAGAAGTTAGAGCAGATAATTTAGATAAAGACTGGTTACTTTTTCGTTCGAATCATTATAAATTGTTAGAAGAATACTATGATAAAATAGAAAATGACGAGTATTTTAAAAATGAAATTTATGATAGTGTTGAAGATACTTATATGGAATATCGCGCTTTATTAAAAAGTACCTCAAACAAATTAGCAGTTAAAATCAAAGAAACTGATTCAAATAAAAGTGACCAATCTAAAGGTAATAACAGTTCTCTTATAAAATTACCCAAAATTTCAATACCCTTATATTCAGGAAAATATTCTGAATGGAATAGCTTCAGAGACTTGTTTATATCGCTCATTCAGAATAATAATACTCTCGATAATGTGCAAAAATTACATTACCTCAAAAGTCATTTAACTGGTGAAGCCGAGCAATTAATACGGCATACTCCTATAACGGACTCTAATTATAGTCAATGTTGGTCTCTATTAGAAAGTAGATATAACAATAAAAAGTACTTATCAAATTGTATTTTTAAGCGATTGTTTAGTCAAAAGAGAATGTTTGTGGAGTCCGCTTCGGCACTAAAAGACCTTTTAGACACTACTACAGAGTGTCTGCATGCTTTACAAAATTTAATGATAGATGTGAGCACCTGGGATTCTATAATAATTTATGTTGTAACTTACAAACTTGATCCGGAAACCCGTAAACAATGGGAACTGAAGGTATCAAGTGATGCATGTACGGAATTGCCAACGTTGCATCAGTTCAAGAACTTTGTTGAAAGTCGTTTCAGAGCCGTAGAGTGTATTGAGTCTAAAAAAGTACCAGTACAAAATAATAGTTCATATTCACAAAAATCTAATACCAAGGTAATGCAACGCGTAAAACGAATTCATTTTCTAATTTTCAGTGTGAATATTGTTCCGATAGTCATAAAATGTGCTTCTGTAAGAAATTCATTGCTTTAGACTATGAACAGAGGCGTCAGTTTGTAGTAAATCATAAAATTTGCTATAACTGTCTTGGTGGAAATCATACAACGCTTCAATGTCTCAAACCAACATCTTGTCGTGTATGTAAAAGGAGGCATCATACGTTATTACATTCGGATTCAGGATGTAAGACAGATGAGTCCACTAGCCATAATCCCAAACCCAGTACCTCTTCGGAAGGTACAATTTCTTCAAATAACAGTACACCTTTAGTTTCATGTTTTGCCACAACCAGGATCACAAAACTCAGACAAGTATTACTTGCGACAGCCTTAGTGAAAGTTCAGTCTGCGTCAAGTAATTTTCAAATTCTACGAGCCTTCCTAGATCAGGGCTCTCACGCTTCCTTTGTAACAGACGCGACAGTTCAATTCTTACGATTAAAGAAAACACCTATTAAGGGTACGGTGTCTGGACTCGGTGACAATAAAAATATTGTATCCAGATATATGGTATCAATCGTATTACAGTCCTTAACAGATGTTAATTTCGAGATTAACGTCAATGCATACGTCCTGAAAAATATTACTTCGTACTTACCGGAACGGAAACTCGAAGAATTAAACTGGACAGTTTTAGAACAGTTACCATTGGCAGATCCACAATTCAATGCGCCCAATAAGATAGACATCTTACTTGGAGCAGATGTTTATGCCAAAGTACTTAAAGAAGGCATAAAAAAGAACCAAACTGGATCACTTGTAGCACAGTGCACTAGATTAGGCTGGATTCTCTCTGGTACAGTACACTCTGAAAACACAGATCAAAATAAAATTAATAATAGTACAAAACAGATCACTACTATGCATGTGCAGGTTAATGAAAATGATATCCTAAAAAAGTTCTGGGAAATAGAAGAACAATTATTATCTAATAAAAGTGAAAAAATACTTACTGATGAAGAGCAACAGTGCGAAAATCTATTTACAAACACTACAAAAAGGACGAAGGACGGAAGATATGTGGTAAACTTACCCTTTAGAAATGGGAACCCCTCGTGTGTAGGTGGTAATAGTAGAGATATAGCTGTGAATAGATTAATGGCATTAGAAGATAATGAAAGATACAAATCTGAAAGAAAAATATAAATCAGTTATACATGAATATTTAAAATTAAAGCATATGAGGGAAGTAAAAACAGGAGATAAAACTAAAGGAGTATACTTACCACATCATGCTGTCGTTCGAGATGATAAGTCCACCACTAAAGTGCGGGTAGTATTTGATGCTTCCTGCAAATATGAGTACAACATTTCCCTTAATGAGATTTTGATGGTAGGACCTACCTTACAATCAGACCTTCGTCATATCGTAACTCGTTGGAGAATACATCCCATTTGTATCGTCGCAGATATCGTCAAAATGTATCGTCAGGTTAGAGTTGCAGAAGAACATATTACGTTTCAGAGAATTGTATGGCGAGACGAGCCTGAGGACGAAATAAAAGATTATGAGTTAATTACTGTCACATTTGGGACTGCTTCGGCACCTTACCTGGCAGTAAAGACATTACATCAAGTAGCTATAGATGAAGGTAAAAATTATCCTTTAGCAGCAGAACTAATACCAAATTCTTTTTATATGGATGACCTAATGACAGGCTGTTCTATAGTACAAGATGGAGAGGTATTATACAGGGAAATGTCAGATTTATTGAACAAAGGTGGTTTCGAGTTACAAAAATGGAACACTAACAACAAAGACCTTTTAAAGGTATTTCAGAAAGGTGAAAATAAGCGTAATAATAGAGAAGAAAAATATGTGGGAAAAGGAGAGACTACAGGGGATAAAGAAGAGAAGAATAAAGTAGAAGAGAACATAGAGAACAAGAAAGAAAAGGACATATTCGATACTACAAAAATATTAGGACTTACCTGGTCTCCTTCCGACGATATCTTCAAGTACTCGGTGCACCTGCCTCCAAAATCAGCATCTGTAACGAAAAGAAACATATTATCAGACATAGCGAAATTGTATGATCCTTTGGGATGGATAGCACCTACGGTAATATTAGCAAAGATACTCATACAAAGGCTTTGGTTGACAGGAATGCAATGGGACGATGAAGTACCAACCGTTCTACAACAAAAATGGCATACTTACCGAAATGAGCTCACAAAACTTACCGAAGTTCGCATCCCTCGATGGTTAGGCATAACACGAAATGATGTTTCGGTAGAACTTCACGGTTTCAGCGATGCGTCGAAGTCAGCATACGCTGCAGTTATTTATACAAGATCAGTCAGTAGTACAGGAGAGATTAGTGTATCGTTGCTAGTGGCCAAAACTAAAGTAGCACCTATTAAGCAAATCAGTATACCGCGCCTTGAACTTTGTGGTGCATTACTATTGGCACGTCTATTAGCTGAAACAGCAAGAGCATTAAACATTTCGAAGGAATCTGTGCAAGCTTGGACCGATTCTACTGTCGTATTAGCTTGGCTAAATAGTCATCCATCAAGGTGGAAAACGTTTGTGGCTAACCGTGTGTCCGAGATTTTAACCACACTTGATTCGGACCAATGGGCGCATGTATCTTCGAAAGACAATCCTGCAGATTGCGCCTCCAGAGGAATTCAACCAGGCTCTCTAGCAGACTGTAGTCAGTGGTTTGAAGGACCACAATTTCTGCGAAGTAAAAATATTGTATACAATCGTCCAAAAAATACAGATATAACTTTAGAAGAATGTATTAAATCTCATGTTACAATAGAAAAATTAGAATCTCCCTGGAGTAAGTTTTCCTCCTTAAACAGGCTGCTAAGAGTAGTAGCATACTGTAAACGATTTATAAGTAAAGAAAAAAGTAATAGAACCAAGTACCTGAAAAAGATAGAAATAGATCAAGCATTAAAATGTTGTATAAAAGAATGTCAAAAAAGAGAATTTAAAGAAGAGTACACACAACTTACAAAAATAGGCTATATAAAAGATAAAACAAGTAAAATAAAATCACTGTGCCCTTACCTTGACGATGATGATATAATCAGGGTGAGTGGTCGACTTCAGCATTCAGCACTTCCAGATAACACGAAGCATCCAATAGTTCTTCCTCATGATGATCACCTCACTAAACTTATTGTAGCAAGTGCTCACTCCCGTACTTTACATGGTGGTCCTCAGTTAATGCTCAATTTCTTGAGATCAGCTTATTGGATTGTCAGAGCCAAAAGTTTAGTCAAACAGCATGTACACAATTGTGTTACTTGTGTCAGGTATAATGCAAAGGTGACCAATCAGTTAATGGGTTCACTTCCAAGTGTAAGGTGTACACCATCAAGACCATTTATACATAGTGGTGTAGACTATGCAGGACCGATCAATATAAAAACTACAAAGGGCCGAGGACATCGAGCCTATAAAGGATATATTTGCGTGTTTGTTTGTATGTCAACTCGCGCTGTTCATTTGGAAGTAGCGAGTGATATGAGTACCCAAGCATTCCTAGCTGCATTCAGACGTTTTGTGTCCAGACGAGGACACTGCAATCAAGTATGGAGTGACAATGGCACTAATTTTGTTGGAGCCGCACGAGAACTAAAGGAATTATCTGCAATCCAAAGCCAAATTTCAGAACATTTGGAGAATTTGGGCACGGAATGGCATTTCATTCCACCACACGCTCCAAATTTTGGCGGGATATGGGAACGTGTCGTACGCTCAACCAAATTCCATCTAAGACGTGTCATTGGTGAGTCCACTCTTACATATGAAGAATTAAGTACATTCCTGACGCAAGTTGAAGCATGTTTGAATTCCAGACCAATGACAGTTATAAGTGGTGATGATTATGATGTACCTGTGCCATTAACCCCAGGACATTTTCTGATTGGGGGACCATTGGTAGGCGTTCCTGATAATGACTATCAACTTTCTCAAATAAGTTTCTTGAATCGATGGCAACTAGTACAAAGAATGTTATAGAATTTCTGGCAGCGGTGGTCATCGGAATATTTGAGAAAGTTGTTCAATCGGTATAAATGGGCTCGTCAAGTACCAGAACCTAAAGTCGGAGACGTAGTTCTAGTCAAAGAAGATGAATTACCTCCTGGTCGCTCGTTACTTGGCCGGGTAGAACAAAAACACGTTGGTACTGATGGTTTAACCCGGGTGGTCACACTACGTACTGAGAAATCTCTTTTAAAAAGACCTACAAATAAATTATGTATTTTGCCAGTAAACGAATGATATTGTTAATATTTAAGTACCTAGAATAAGATTATTTTTTATATTTTCTAGTTTGTAGGTTAAATTTTTTTTTGTAATACTACTCACCAAGAACTTTTATAGTTTCCGTTATGTTCAGCGATTTAGTTAAGGACATTTCTTCAGCATGTCCTTGGTGGGCGGTATGTTTAAGCTAATCTAGTTAAGAGCACAATATAATAGTTCCGAAAAGTGAACTAGATGTCGCTGTCTCATTTATGTATAATTTCTACATCGCGGTGGCAAGATATTTTTGTGTTATGTCTTAAGTTATAACTCGTTTTGTAATCAGTGAGCGAAATAGAGAGGAATACATTCTTAAAACGCAATATACACCTATCCAGTACTATCCTTGGGTTTCATTTACCTATAGGGTCCAAGATCTAGTACAGTTCAGGTCATAAGTACAGCACTAAATATATTAATATTACAAATGCAAAGGGAGAACTACATGAACTTCATCTTTCAGACCATAATACAGGGCAAATGCTATCATTTATTACTCAAATCATAGGCAAATGTACTAAATACTGGTATAAAATACAGAGAAATCTTTCGCAGGAAAATATAAAAAAATTACAAAATTGTCTTTCTGAACTTGCCTGGTCCGAAGTGATCAGTGAAACAAACTTAAATATCGCTTTTAATAAATTTCATGATATTCTCTGTATGTTCTTCAATATATGCTTCCCTAAACAAAAGATCAAAATAAAAATAAATTTAGACTCACCGAAATGGATAACAAAAGGTTTAAGAATAGCCTGTAAAAGAAAAAGAAGTCTAAGGTACAATTATTATAAATATAAAACCGAGGAACATAAATTAAATTATATAAAATATACCAAAGTATTAAAAAGATGTATTAATACTTCGAGGAAATTATTGAATTCAAAGTCAATTATAAATTCTAAAAATATATGCAAAAGAACTTGGGATATTATAAAAGATAAAAGCGAAAAAACTAATTTTCCTGTGGGTATTGAAAAGATAGTAATGAATGGAAAAAATTTTACACAACCATTAGAAATAGCAGAATTATACAATACCCTATATTCAAAAGTAACCTGTCCTGTATCTGATAGTAATGAGTCATACAATATTATAACAAACGAAAATAATAGCATGTTCTTACTACCTTGTACTGAAGAGGAAGTTATTAAAATAATCAGAAACTTAAAAAATACTAAATCCGTAGGTTATGACGAAATTACCACACTTTTATTAAAAGCATGTGCAAATTCATTAAAAACAGTAATAACGTACTTAATTAACTTGTCATTTGTGGAAGGAAAATATCCGGAAAATCTAAAAAAATGCATAATCAAACCACTCCATAAAAAGGGAAATAGGGAAGAAATCAATAACTATCGTCCTATCACATTGATACCTGTTATATCAAAAGTCTTTGAAAAGACTATGCAGAGAAGAATTAACTGTTTTCTGGAAAAAAATAACATCATAATAAAGGAACAAAATGGATTTCAGAAACAAAAATCAACTACGCTAGCTGCTTTTACATTAGTTCAACAAGTCACAATGAACATAGATAGAAAAACACCGGTATCAGCAATTTTTTTCGACATGTCAAAGGCGTTCGATTTTGTTAAGCATGACTTATTACTGTCCAAATTAGAAAAATATGGTATTAGAGGTATAGTAAACGACTGGATAAAAAGTTATCTGTCAAAGCGCTATCAATGTGTGGAAATAAACAATATAAACAACAAATCTGAATTGATATCGTGTCGATCATCTTATCATGTTAATAGATATGGAGTACCTCAAGGGAGCGTTCTTGGGCCCTTATTATTTATAATATATATTAATGACATAATAAAAATAACAAAGTATCCATGTATATTATTCGCAGATGACATTTCCGTTGTAATACCTGAAACTGACAAAAATATTGATTATGATACTGAAATAAATATGACAATTATAGCAATAACAAACTGGCTGAAATCCAATAATCTTTCAATTAATATAAGCAAAACCAAAATAATGCAATTTGGAAATTACAAAACTAAAAATAAGACATTGAATGTGAATATACAAGGACAAAAAATAGAAGAAGTTGCAGAAATAGAATTTCTAGGACTTACATTAGACACATATTGCAACTGGAAGGTACACGTGGAAAAAGTATGCAAAAGACTAAATAAATTTGTTTTCGCTTTAAGGAGATTAAGACTAGTATCCAGCGAATACACAACTCTTACTGCATACCACGGTTATGTAAGTTCAGTCCTCAGGTTTTTGTTATGGGGAAATTCCACAGATATGACAAAAGCTTTTATAATACAAAAAAAATGCTTTAGGGCCATTTGTGGAGCAGATCCATTCGAGTCATGTAGACCACTTTTTAGAAAATTGAAGATACTTACTTTAGCTTCAATGTATATACTAGAGGCTGGAATTTTCGTTAAGAGTCATCAAGCATTCTATGCTACGGCGGATATCAATAACAGGCATAAACCTATAAATCCAACACGATTATTGTTGCCGCCATGTAGAAGTACACTATATGAAAAAAATTGTTACGTAATGATGGCAAAAATATACAATAATATACCAAAATTTAAAGAACTTCCTATGAAGCCCTTTAAGTTAGCATTTAAGAAATGGTTAATAGATAAATGCTTTTACAATATGCAGGAGTATTTTCAACGATGAACGACTACTACAACATATCCTCAGTGCTAAATACATGAAGCTCAACTTCAAACATAGATTATTTCCTATAAATGATATAAATTGTTATTATTACATTTAATTTTAACCCACTCGTGTAACTGCCACGTCTGCTACTTGTCTTGACAATGTTTTTTGTAACTGTGAGTATATTGAAAAATTAATAATAAATAAACTTCCTTCAGATCACTGTGGTCAAGTTGTTAAGTTTAACAGTCAGATCAATAAAGTCAACAATAATAAAAAATCAAAAAGACAAATAAATGTTTACAATATTAACAAATACAAAAGCGCGATTAAAAATAAATTGGATTTGCTGTTACAATATAGTAATAATCCTGATTATCTTTACACCAAGCTAATTACTATTCTATCAGGAGAATATGAACAATTTTTCAAGAAAAAAGAAGTTTATGTTAAATCTAAATTCACGGAATGGGCAACAGTAGGTATACTTAAAAGTAGAAATATTTTGTTTGATTTATACGATCAAAAAAAACATCGATTTGATGACAAATTCACCACTTCTGTGAAAAATTATTCAAAAATTTTTAAAAAAGTTTGTATTACGGCTAAATCTAATTATATTAATAAACAAATTAACCAGTCTTCTGACAAAATTAAAACCATCTGGGGCATTATAAATAAAGAAACCGGAAGATCTAAATTAGCATATAATCAATTTTCATTAAATTATGATAATAAATTAATAACAGCAACAAAAGATGTAGTTAATGTTTTTGAAGATTTTTTTGCTAATATTCCGATTAATATTACATCTTCTCTGGACTCATCTCCATCTCGAGCAAAAATATTACTAGAGTCTAATATCGGTTGTTGTGCTTTAAGATTTAAATTTTCACATGTTAGCCCCGTTCATATCATAAAAATATTCAAACATCTAAATTTAAAAAATACAGAAGACCTTTGGGGCATGTCTGTAAAAGTAGTTAGTTCTTTCATAGATATTGTTGCTCCATATCTAGCTACTATTTTTAATAAATGTATTGATAATGGGACTTTTCCACAATTAATGAAATTTAGCAAATTAATCCCACTATTTAAATCAGGAGATAAATTTGAGCCAGGGAACTATAGACCTATATCTATTTTGCCAGTTCTAAGTAAGGTGTTTGAAAAGATAATGTTAAATCAAATGTTACAACACTTCAGGGATAAGCGACTGCTTCACAGTCAACAATATGGTTTCACCGCCGGCAAGTCTACCACTGACGCAGGTGTAGCGCTGATAACACATATTTTCCAATCATGGGAGAAGTCACAGGATGCACTCGGAGTTTTCTGTGACCTATCAAAGGCATTTGATTGCGTAGATCATAAAACACTTTTGTACAAGCTCGAACATTATGGTATAAAAGATAATGATCTAAAATTAATGAGAACTTATTTAGAGGATAGGGTCCAAACTGTAGATATTGACGGTATAAAATCTAAGGGAGCTAATATTGGGATGGGCGTTCCACAAGGGTCAATCTTAGGCCCCTTTCTCTTTTTAATTTACATAAATGACCTTCCCTTTATGGTAGAGAAAATTGCAGATATAGTGCTGTTTGCGGATGATACTTCGTTAGTGTTTAAAATTGGACGTCAAACTAATCAATTAGACGATGTAAATTGTGCTATGTCTGCTATATTAAATTGGTTTACATGTAATAACCTATTATTAAATTCCAGCAAAACAAAGTGTATAAAATTTACACTTCCTAATGTAAGACCAATAAATACACAGTTATTGCTTAATAACGAAATAGTAAATTTTGTTAATGATACAGTTTTTTTAGGTATAACAGTGGACTCGAAATTACAATGGGGGCCCCATATTTCAAAATTGGCCAATAGACTCAGTTCAGCTGCATATGCAATTAGAAGAATTAGGCAATTAACAGACGTGGCGACGGCTAAACTTGTATACTTTAGTTATTTCTATAGCATTATGTCATATGGTATACTACTGTGGGGTAAAGCAGCCGATATAAATACTATATTTATTTTACAAAAGAGAG